TACAAATTTCTATAAATTATATCTTATAATAAAGTATATAATTAATGTGTGTATATTTATCATATTACAAATTGTTTAATTAATTAATCATTTGGCTTTATATTAAGTTAAAGTAAAGTTTAAAAACAATATCTACAAACAAATTCTACGATGGATGAGCTATGAGCACTTAGAACATAAGCGCGTATTATAAGAATAAATTAGCATCAAAAATTGATAAAATTGATAATTGTTAATGTGTGTTCTTTATTTAATAAATTAGGCAAAAAAATCTTTACAAAAGATCTTTTCTTGATCTTTTTTTTTTAAATTAATATTTCAATATATTTTTGCAATAGATGCAAAGCATCTGTTAATTTAATTTAATAATATAAGCATTAATTTAATTTAATAAAATAAGCATCTATTAATTTAATTTAATAATATCTAATTAATTTAATTTAATTATTTAATTTAATTTATTTAATTTAATCCATCCTAACTCATCCATTTTAAGGCAACGGATTTATCTACAATCTACAATCTACATCTACATCTGCAATATCTACACAGAGAAAAATATCATTCTACTGCCAAGAAAAGTGATTACTCAGTTTATATTTCTTTTTTTAAGTAATAGTTTTCTTCAACAAAGAATATCTTCTTGATATAATAATTCTTGATAATAGTTTTAAAATATACTCATCACAAGTGTTAAAAAATCTCATTACCATGTACTCAAAGGAAGAATTTATTTTCTCTTCAAGAATATTGTAATGTTGTATTAAAGAAAAATCAAACTTATTTTACGTCAACTCTTATAATAAGCAAACCAAATTTTTGTTTTAATTTAATATTCTTGCCTAAAATACTGCACTTACTAAAATTCAGAATATATTTAATTAAATTTAATGCTTGTGGTAAACTTATGATATATTTGCGGATATACAAACTTGTGATTTACTTAAAATAAATAATATTTTACTTGAATACAGTATACATTTTCCTCTGTGTATGAATCCGTTGCCTTAAAGTTAAATAAAAGTTTTTTTCACTCACCGGCACTGATGCGCAACAGCGGAGTTGTTGTTATCGAAGCTAGTTGTCTGTAACATACAAGTATAAAATTTATTTATAATAATAATTTATAATATAATAATAATTTATTTATAATGCTCACAAAATGCAACTAATATTTAAAACAATTTTTATCGTACGGAATTTTATATCCGATGTGTAAAATAATAAGCAGATAAACACGTATGGAAAAATTTTATAAATTTTTGAAACTGTTTTTTAAATAGAAAATTCTATATGACTTTTATAAAAATTTTTCTCTTTAATTCATTTAAATAATAAGATCGGATTATTGTTCGTTTAGAACAAGTTAACAATTTATAACAATTAATATATAAATAATAATATTTACCATCAGGTTGTTCCGCTGGTGCAGGATGCCTCTCCTAGGCCTGCTCCTCCTCTCAGTCTTAGACGCGCGATACTTAACGGCACTTCCGCACTCACGAGCGATATTTTTATATCGCTATTTTCGTTAATTTACGCGCGATACTGAACGGCACTCCCGCACTATTTCGATGTGATTAAAATTTTTATATTTGATCGCGCGATGTATATACTTAATATGTATATACTTTTAACGGCACTCCCGGTTTCGGTACGAGCGAAAATCCCATTTCACTTACGAGAATTCACTTCGAGTCAATAATCGGGAATGCAACGATACAACGAGCAAGAATTAAGCCCAAATCGGAAAGAAGACGAAACGATTGACGGAAATAGAGGAAAATGAAGTTCACCCATTGACGACCATTCCGAGCAATCGATCGAGTTCTAACTAATTCGGGCCGAATTACTTGACGAAGCACGAAGCAAGAGTGTACGTTGTGGAGCAACGTGTGCAAACTCAAACATCCCAGGTAATTGGCATCGGAAGTAGAGACTCGTGACAATAAATGAAATTGGGATTTTATGTGAAAAAGTCTAAAAGTTCCGCGAAAACGTGACGACGCGAGAATATTACAACGCGAAAACGGGACGCGTTGATGAAGCGCTTGCCGTCCGCGGCAAGTTGACGGCACTAACGACGCGAAAGGGTACTTAGCTTCCTATTCAGACACCTTAAGATTTATCATAAATTGAAAAATTTAATATAAACCACAAGGCGCCATCCAAGTACTAAGCCCTCCCACCGCGACAAGGTGTACCCCATGGGAGGGTTATATTATATTATATATAATTTTATATGTAATATATGTAATATGTAATTAATTTTATTAAAAATGTCAGACTCACGAATATAAAATTAAATATATAAATTGGTATACAAATGGCAATAGGAGTCTATTATCGATTGTTACACTGTTATTTATTATATATAAAAAACATTCATTGTGCGTTGAAGAGGACCCAAAAATAGGGTCGAAACGTTCGCAATCCACTCATATGTATATTTGTTAAATGAATGTTTTTTATATATAATAAATAACAGTGTAACAATCGACACTAGATTCATATTACCATTTGTATACCACCAATTTATATATTTAATAATAATTTTGTAATATACTATATAAATTTTAATTCGCAAATATAAACGATATATATCTATAAAAAATAAGAGAAAATAAAGCTATTATATAAAGCAATGTTCAAAATAATTGTTAGAGAAAGAATTTCATAATATATGGAACGTCTCACATCACTACTTCATTGCTCAAGAGCCACTGAGCGAATGATCGTAAGTCAAGGATATTACCGCGCTACTGTTTACATCGCCAAGATTGACTACGTAGGGAAAGAATTTGATAATATATGAAACGTCACTACTTTATTGTTCAAGGTTACTATGCGAATGATCATAAGTCATAAACATTACCGCGATACTGTTTACATCGCGAAGGCCGATTTATACAATGTTACTATTATAATTCATCGTTGAAATATTCTACGAGTGATTGTCGATTAAGAAAATTTAAAGCATAGGTCGAAATTTATTTAATTCTAATAAGTATCGTTAGAGAAATTATTATAATAAGTATCAATAATCGAAAGATGACAATAAAATTAATTTCTTTATTCCCTTTTATGTTCCCTTTTTCCATTTTTATTCACAGTAATTAATGATTGCGATTCGATAAAGATTTATCGTTGCGATATACAATTTCATGTCATTTATCATAAGGTAATTAATTTTTAATTATTAATAATTATATCAAATTATATTTCGATACTATCGTAATCGTGTTTAGAAAAAAAAATTCCACAATATGTGAAGCATTTCGCACTACTACTTTATTGCTCGAGTTTCACCGTGCGAATAATAAAGCCATAACATATTAATAATAGCGCGGTACTGTTTATATTGCCAAAGTTGAACATCGTGTTATCGATAATTCGTTGCTGAAATATTTTATGTATTATAACATATATTGTTATACATGAAAATATTAAATTGTAGAAGTTTTTCAATATATAGATTAATTAAACGATTATTTATTAAACAATTAGTTAATATACGAAGCATTTCCGATTGTTATTTTACTGTTCGAATATCATCGAACAAATGATAGCAAAATCGTAACGTATAAACAATATCACGCTATTGTTTATATCGTCAAAGTCGAACATAATGTTATTTATAATTCATTGACGAAATAATTTATATACTATAAAATATACACAAGCGGAATATTAAATTATTAGGATTATAAGAAGTATTTTAATTTATTGATTAAAATTGATTATTTATTATATTAAACAATTTATCTATTTCTTATATTAAACAATTTATCACGAAGACTTTCCTTATGCTAATTATTTGCATTTATAATTCGATTGTTTTACTTCGTGTTCTCTCACAATCCAAATTATATTTAAATTGTCAAGTAAAACGATAAACAGAAGAAATATATTTGTGATTCTAAATATTAAAATAATAATTATTGTCCGTAAAAATCGCAACAATCAAAGTGATTATTTAATATTTTGGATTTCTATAATTTAATCGATTCTCGATTAAATTGCATATCGTTTAATTAACAAAGATTGAGAGAATTTAAAGTATTGTTTGAAATATATTTAATTCTAATATTGTTAAAGAAATATTATAATTAGCATCAATAATCATTACATAATTAAATCTCTTATCCCCTTTTATATACCCCCTTTTAATTTTTAATTGCGATAATGAAACATTACGATTCGATAAAGATTTATCGTTGCGATACAGTTTCATGTCGTTAATTATTTTTTAATAATTTAATTTTTATTAATATTAATAATAATATTTTTCGATACTAATCGTAGTTGTGTTTAGTAAAAAAAATTATAATATTTAAAGCGTTTCTCACCACTACTTTATTATTCGAGAGTTTCCGTGCGAATGATAATAAAACGGTAACATATAGCGCGCTATTGTTTATATTTTATATTGCCGAAGTCGAACGCCGTGTTATCGATAATTCGTTGCCGAAATATTTTATATATTATAAAATATACATTAACGTGGAATATTAAATTATGGAAATATTTTAATTTATTAATTAAAATTGATTATTTATTGAACAATTTATCACGGAGCTAATTATTTGAATTTATTCGATTATTTTACCGCGCTTTTCCGAAGTCAAATTCTATAATATTTAGTTTTGCATTTTAAAAGATTGATTATTATAGCGAGCTAAATAAATAAATATTTAAATGATGTTGAGAAGAAAAAAAAGACACATAAATAAATAAATAAATAATAGCGTGAAAAGAGAGAACATACTAATTTTATATAATATTATGTAATATATATAATTGTATAAATGTAATATATATAATTTTATATATACTATTTTTATATAATAAATTATTATTAATTAAATTATTTATATTTTTATTTATATTATTTATATTATCAGAGAGACATATATGTTACCCTCTGAGAACATTCGTGAACATGGGCTTTATAGTTTGTTACCGAGCGTAACAACGTAGTTTATGTCCACTTTCTCAAGGGGCGCAACAGGACATGCGTCCGCTGAAGCAGGATGGCCGCTCTCAGGTTTCTCTCTGACGGTATTCACACTTAAATATCTTGCTATATTTCCTATATTAATAGTAAACAAAATAATTGTAGATTTAACTAATGTAAATAAAATAATTTGTAGATTTAAATATATAGGTAAAGATTGTACATTTTTATTTTAATAATTCAAAATATAAAGTACCACATCCTATCTCATAAGCAATGCATAGATATTTTAATTTTAATTTTAATTTTATTTCATAGTGTTTCTGCATAGATATTTTAATTTTTATTTTAATTTTATTTCATAGTGTTTCTATATACAAATGACATGTATATTTATATGTTGTTCTAGCAGACAGCTGTCTAAATCTGAAAAAATCGATCCCACTTCTAAATGAGCTATTCCACATACATTGTAAAATTGGAGAAGGTACATTTAGCTCTGTCTTTTTGGCTACTATGAAGTCTTCTAATAGGCATAAAAAGTTTGCATTAAAATACTTAATTCCTACTTGTCATCCTGAAAGAATTGAACGTGAATTACAATGCTTGCAACAAATGGGGTATGATAAAATTTCATTGATGAAATTTCATTCTAAGAAAAGAGGTGTATCATAGTTTTACATTAATTAACATTGACAAAAACAAATATAATTTATTTCAGAGGTAAAGATCATATTGTTAGCATAGACTTATGTTTAAGACATCAGGGTTCTGTAGTGTTTGTAATGCCATATATGAAGCATGATAAATTTTCAGTAAGTTACAATTTGTATTTAAATTTGTAAAGTCTCAATTAGATTAATAAGATTAAAATTATAATAATGGTCATAATTAGGAATATGTCAGGGATATGACTGTAGAAGAAACAAAGGATTATATGAGAGCTTTATTAAGTGCTGTGCGAAGAGTTCATCAGTTTAACATCATACATAGAGATGTGAAACCCAGTAATTTCCTCTACAATCGTGCTAATAGAAAGTAAATTTGTATATCACAATTTTTTTTTCTTATTTAAAAAAAATTACAATTATACATAATTAAAAATTTTTTTTTTTTTTTTATAGATATTTATTGGTAGACTTTGGGCTTGCTCAGCAGTGCACTGAATACAATGCAAAGAATTTGGAAGCAATAAAAACCAATGCAGGAACAACTGAAATACAAAGCATGAAGCGAAAGAGATCTGACGAAGTAATGTTTCATACAAATGCAATATAAATACAATATCTAACAATATTTGATATTGTTTATTCCTTGTTGTAATATGTTTTAAAATAATTTAAATTTCCAGTTTAATTCAAATGCAAAGAAGGATGCAGATATTAAATGTAACTGTTTTGGGAAACCTAAAGTATGCGCATTATGTTTAACAAGACCACAGCAAACGGCGCCTCGTGCAGGCACACCTGGATTTCGTGCTCCAGAAGTTTTATTGAAACATCCATCACAAACTCCAGGTACTAATAATAATGATTTAATAAAGAACATAAGACAATTTTATATTTGTAATGAAAAAGAAAACACAAAATTTCAGCAATTGATATTTGGGCTTGTGGCGTGATGATGTTATGCATACTTAGTGGTACACAAGTGTTTTTTCGTTCGCCTGATGACTGCACAGCTTTAGCGGAAATAACAACGATATTTGGTTCTCGCAAAGTACAACAATGTGCAGAAAAATTAGGTATGTTTTATTACCATGTTTATGATCAATAATTTATTTAAATTGTTCCTTTTCATTTCATTAATTTCAGTTACATGGATTAGGTTCATTATTTATTTTTATTTTATTTGAATTAGGTAAAAAAATTATTTTTAGTGAAAATTTACCAGGCATTGATATTATGTCTTTGTGCCTAAAATTACGAAAAAGAAACAGAAGCATGATGCATAATAGAGAGAATAGTACATGCAAGGTATTGTTTTTATATTTTAAACGATTTTTATTTAAAATTATATAATATTGCAGAAAAAAGTATAATCAGACACAATGAAAAATAAAAAATAAAATCTTTTACTTTTATATGTTAAAATGCATCTAAATCATCTCAAATAATAGATTAGCTGTTCATTAATAGTATGATTTAATCTCTTTATTTCTTTATCTATTTATAAAGTTCTTTAGAATAATTACTTGTGAAAATAGAATGATCAATTATATCAAACTTTTTTCTCTTGACTACAATAATATATTTCTATCTTGCAACATTTGCAAATTATTCTAAAATTCTTTAAGGTATTGCCAGATATCGAGTATCCGAAGGAAGCATACCAACTTTTGATAAAACTTTTAAATCTAGATTATGAAACACGTATCACTGCTGAACAGGCGTTATCTCATCCATTCCTGAATTTGTGATATATTGATTTTTTTTATAAAGCATGTGTCTAAAGGTATTTAAAATTAAAGAAAGGAGAGGTAGTCTTCTATGCATTGGATATATGTAAAGCTAAATTATATTTTAATATATATATATATATATATATATATATATATATATATATATATGTATTGATAATGATCTCTTTAAAATGGCAACTTTAATTATGTTATATTTTAGTTGAAGTTACTTTTTGACTAATAAATTCTTCAAATTATTGAAAATAAAAAATTTTTCATGATTGTTTTAAAGCATAATGATTTGTAATAAATATTTATATGACTTGATCTATAGTTATATAACTTGGTATTTCATATTATTATTAAGATTTATTTATTAATATTATGTTATATATATTTCATCATGATGAGATATCCTAATAAGATACTCACTCTCCAATTACAAATAATATGAAACAATTTCAACATATAATGAAAAATTCAAATTCGAATATGTTCGAACAATGAGTGTAAATAGGTGCAATTATTCAGCATTGTCTTTTGAATAAGTTGTAATTAGCCTGTAGTTTTATGGTATATTAAACGAGAATTTTAAGAAAAAGAATCAAGTGTCTTTTTCGGTTTAGATAGTCATTACGAATGCTTTTTCTTATTGGTCTTTCGATTATTTATGCATTTAGAGATGCGAGTTTAAACTTGTACATATATTATAATCGAATTTACACTATATCTAGTATCATTCTCGAACGAAGAAGCTAATTGAAAAATCTATTCTAACAATATTTTGCTTTTACATTATTCACATTTCATTTGTAGTACAATATAATTGTACTTAAATTGTTACTTTTGTACAAGTTGAAATATCAAAGTGGTTAAGTAGAATTAATATAAATATTTATTTAAATTATTAATATTCTACTAGAAATTTTATTGAATAAGCTTACATTTATCATATTTAAATCAATATCGCTTTTGAAATTATTAGAAATTCTATATGGGTGTATCTATATAGAAGCACGAAAAATTCTCTCTAAATTAAATAATCATATAGAAATATATTATAGATATTATTTTTATACATTTTTTAGACACACACACATAACTTTAAATAAATTTATATAATTTATAAAAGTTCTTGATTCCTTAAGTTTTGAAATGTATTTGCTTTAATGATGCAGATTTTAATAATTATCTTCAATGTTTAGTATTATTATTTTAACTTTTATCACAATATTGATTATAAATTAAAATTATTACATATAATAAAATAAAAAATATAAATATATAAATCTTAATTTATTATTAATATATTTATTATTTTTTAAAAATAATTTTTTAATAAATGAAATGTTTTTATTAGACTTTATAGACTTTTGAGAAACACGATATTTTTCACAAAATTGCATGTATTTTACTTTGATTTCATTAAAACACATATTCGTAGTTTAATAAGGATAGTGTTTAGTTTTTCTTTTCCTACTTTCATTCTCTTAAAATATTTTGATAATTTTTGCTCATACTTGAAATGTAAAATTTAGATAATTTTTATGTGAGAAGTAAAGATAGATATTAGATAATGATATATAAAATATCTTCAATTTATTTCACATTAATATGTGTACCAAGTAATAAGAAATCTATATTTTCAAAAATAATTTTCAACAAAAATTAATTTTAATGTATATATATGTATACAGATATGACAATTATGAAGGGTGCAGATATTTAGTGAGGATGTTACATATGATTTAGAGGTCTTTCTACAATCATTATCGTACATCATTCATTATTAGAACAATTTATTATACAAGTTTAAAATATTTTAGGTTTTTTTATTCTATAAATTTTAATAATATAAATATAATTCTATGAATTTTAGTATATGATTTTTAAAATATATAATATATATGTAATTTTTATAATATATACAGTAATTTATATTGTATAATTGACATAATTAATTTTTTATTAGTTACATTTTTATACTTTGATATTAAAATTTTTTTAATAATCTTTATCTTACGATATAATGAGAAAATTTAAAATTAAATATTTGATTGCATATAAATCATAAATTTTTAATAATAAACATAAATGTCACTTGACTTAATAAATTATATGCGACATATAAATATGAATTAATATCAACATGTTCATATATCATTTACTTAATCAACATGTTCAATATTACTAGTGCTTTCTGTTGATTCGTTTTCATCGACGTTTTTCTTGATCAAATTCCACTCGGCAGCAGCATCCAAAGCAGTGGATGCTAATTCTCTAATTTGTTTGTTTTCCACCATATCATTTTTACTCAATGCCATCAGTATTTCCATTATATCTGTTTCGATAAGTTTTGCAGCGACATCTTTTGTGCTTCTTATCATGTTTAGTACGATTACAACACCCCTATGTTGTACATCGCAGTTTGGATTGGCGAGTAAAAAACGTAGAGACTCCAACCAATTTTTCGAATCAAAGATCTTTTCGCAAGCCTTTTTGCTAACTGATGTTAGCATCGCCAGAGCTCCAGCAGCTGCGATACTAGTATCTTGATCTTCATCTTCACAGAGTATTACTAGATACTTGATTCGGTCATTTTCTTGTTCGTAATATTGAATTGTTTGCTCACACATTATCAAGTTATTCATAACTTGCGTGGCTGCACGTATCAGCATATCATGATCCCCATACATATAGGCCTCGATCTTGTGAAATCCTCCTTCTTCCAATATCCGTTTTCGCACGCTGTCGTTAATGCCAGCTAGATTGCACAGAGCCATTAAACTTTCGAAATTTTCGAGAGCAGAACATTCTTGATTTAGGAGATTTATGAATGGTCGAACAACCTCCATCATTCTCTGACCGGGAAATGCTACTTCGGGATTTATTGTGATTCCCAAACGAGCTAGAGCTTGCGAAGCTTGTTTCTTTCCCTTGGTCGTGCCATCCAGCGCTAGCGGTAATAGCGCTTTTACAGCACCCTGTTGAACGATTATTCCTCTCACTTCCTGTTGACTGCATATCGCATTAAAGACGCGCGCTATCAATTCTCTACTATTGTGACTGTCTGTCTTAGCAAGGCTGACTAAAGCACTAGTTACACCAGCCTTAGTTAACACGCACAATCTCTTATTCACAAATTCGACATCATCTAGTTCGTGTTCTTCAGGAATATGTTGTTTTGCGAATTTCGCCAATTCAATCATTTCGGGTATGATCTCTTGCTTGTCGTAAGCATTGCACAAATTCACCAGTGTTGTGACCACGCCATAGAGAACAGACTGATCGCCAGTTTTGGCGAGCTCGATCATAGCTTGAATGGCCTGTTGATCTTCTATTAATTTCTCTTTAACTTCGGCGTCAAAAGTGAGATAAGATAGACCCTCTATAGCCCACTTTCTCATATCCTTTTCTTTCTTCGGGTTAATCAAGAATCGTCTACAGGCTTCGGCTAATTTTTTTGTTGCTCCATCCGCAAACGGCCTGATAGTTGCATCTGTGCCTCCTGAGCTTCCTAACTTGCATAATCCCACTAATGCCCGAACGCGGATTGAGTCATCCTTAGATTGGTATAACTTTTTCAATATGTTTACACCTTGATTTATGATCGCGGTGGCCTTGTCTTTTTTGGACGCTACGGCAACAATACATTCGCAAGCGACTTTTTGCTGCAATAAATCATCTGTCCCTGCCATAACGAGAATCATTTCTAAAATTCCTTCTTTAGCTACAATTGCATTTCCAACGTCTAATGGACCCAATAATAAAGTTGTTATTGCAACTACTATGCGAACCTAAAACAGTCAATTAATAATCCATGAATATTTTTGCACAGTATATATTATGCAAGATAGAATAGATACATAACTTTTTTAAAAATATTAAGATAGTTATTATTTTCGAATATTTAATGATTAAAAAAATAGGAAATCTTTGAAAAAATCTTTAAACTAAATTTTAATACAGATGATAATCACATACAACATTGAAATTAAAATAGAATTTACTAGTAATAATAGGATTTCAATTTGAAAATTCCAAAGATACAATGTTAGGAAAAAATTGAATTAAAACAATCTTTTATTATTTCTGTAAAAAAATCAGTTTCAAATTGGTCATAGAAATTGTGGTTAAAATTATATGCAGCGATTTTATAAATATTCTATTATATAAATTAAATATTTATAGAAAATTATTTACATACACAAGTTATAGAATACAATGTTATAAAATGCATACCTTAGATTCTATATCAGGTGTAAGTAATTTATCTTTAATAAATTCATCAATAGCATTTCTAAATCGTTCTTTAGCAGCATCATAGTACATATTCTCGTATATTCTAGCCAAGCAAACACTGGTTATAGTCCGCGTGGAAGATGTAATGTCCATTGAGGATTCATATTTGTATTCTTCCATTTCACTGGCTACTTCCATCAATTTTTGCAAACCGCGAAGTTCGACCAATCGCTCGGCCCAGTCTAATGCAGTGTAATGAATATTACGCATAATGAGTTCTATTATTGCATCTCTCGCAAGACCTGATATTGTTCTATTTGTTATGCTGTACAACAGACATGATAGAATTGTATCTATTTCTTTTTTATACGTCTCGCATAAAGTCTTGTCAGGTTTTGAATCAGGCTTATTGTCCATTCCACTATAAGTATTTAATATGATCTAAAAAAAAGAAAAAAGAAGAAGATAAAATACATGTTTCAATGTATGCATAAATTCTCATGTTAAGGCATTTTGTGTGTAGAATAATATGTTTGATTAGTGTAATCACCTGTAAGCAGTATTGAGATGCATTGACTCTCTCTGCAAGTTTACTGTTTATCATTTCCAAAAACCAAGGCACACCGATATCTCTTATAACAGACTCAGTTCGACTAATATTATTTTTACATAATTCGCCTATAATCCGGATCGTATTGCAGATTATTTCCTCGTTTTTTTCAACTTTGACGAATTTTGTTATTTTAGATACGCCTTTTTGTTTGAAGATCTCTTCTGCTCCAGCTCTCTCACGTGCAAGCACAAGTAAATTATTCATAGCGGTTTCACGCTTTTCTCTATCCATGTTTATATCAAAGGCTAGGTCTAGCATTTGTGATACCTATAATATAGTATATAAAGTAATTACACAAATTAATAATAGAATATATAAAATAATTATTATAAATTAGACAAATTATATTTGTATAACTATTTCTCATACAATATATCCATCAAAGAAGAAACATTGAAAAATGTAACAAGAAGTTTAAATCACATTATGTATTGACTAAATCAAAATTCTTATTAGAAAAAAAATTATATAAAGTAATTAGAAAAATATTATGTGTTATAATTTATATTAATTGGACAAATTATTAAATGGGTGAAATTAAATTTCTTAACAATCATATATACTTACTTTAGCACTAATGCGTGACATTTCTTTATGTCGTTCCTGTACAATTTCGTGTAATCGTGCTGCTATAGGTTGAATAGATTTATTATTAGGATCAGATAAAATAATATTTCTCGCATCTCGATATGCCTCCTCAAATCTCTCCGATGCTTCAAGTGCCAGACATCTACGAAATAAGGCCTTAGGATCATTAGAACATATCTCTAATGCATTATCACAATCCTTGATCACTTTCTCATAATCAAGTAATTTTAAATAAGCAGCAGCTCGATTTTTATAGTATATCGCCTTCTCGGCATTATCTTCTTTTACTAATTTCAATGCATTTGTATAGCAATTTAAAGCCTCTGACCAGTTGTTTTTGTTAAATTCTTCATTACCTTTTTCCTTCCACTCTTGTGCAGTCATATCTGATTTTGTCATGATGTAATTACAAGTTAACTCTGTAAAACATACAATATTATATTAAATATTTGAACATGAAAAGATTCTCTTATCTATAAAGTATCTATAAAGTACAATATATTATATATATTTTCTGGGTATGCGAGCAAAGTATAGATGTATGATTCTGGATCAAATACATAATTGAAAGAATAACAAATATAAAAATAACAATACAATTTCTAGAATACTATTGACCCAAATCTGTACATAAATCAACTGCGATAGTTATCAATTATGATAATCTTTGTTCTAAAAAGTTTATATCATTTTTGTCAAACATTAAAAAGTAACAGGTACATAAAATGTAATTCTAATTTAAAATGTTTTACCTTTAAGTAAAGAAATTGCAGGAAGAATGAGTTTTTAAGAGCACAATACAATATTATATTAAATATTTGAACATGAAAAGATTCTCTTATCTATAAAAGTACAATATATTATATATATTTTCTGCGTATGCGTGCAAAGTATAGATATATGATATTGATGAAACAAATACATAATTGAAAGAATAACAAATATAAAAATAACAATACAATTTCTAGAATACTATTGATCCAAATCTACATAAATCAATTACGATAGTTATCAATTGCGATAGTAATCTTTGTCCTAAAAAATTTATATCATTTTTGTCAAACATTAAGAAGCAACAGGTACATAAAATGTAATTCTAATTTAAAACGGTTTACCTTCAAGTAAAAAAATTTCAGGAAAAACGAGTTTTTAAGAGCACAATACAATATTATATTAAATATTTGAACATGAAAAGATTCTCTTATCTATAAAAGTACAATATATTATATATATTTTCTGCGTATGCGTGCAAAGTATAGATATATGATATTGATGAAACAAATACATAATTGAAAGAATAACAAATATAAAAATAACAATACAATTTCTAGAATACTATTGACCCAAATCCGTACATAAATCAATTACGATAGTTATCAATTGCGATAGTAATCTTTGTCCTAAAAAATTTATATCATTTTTGTCAAACATTAAGAAGCAACAGGTACATAAAATATAATTCTAATTTAAAACGTTTTACCTTTAAGTAAAAAAATTGCAGGAAGAACGAGTTTTTAAGAGCACAATACAGTGTACGATTCACCTTATCACTTTCTCTCAATTTTACAACTGCGATTTAAAAAGGATAATCAGGTCATCCTCAGAATGAATGATGTTAGATTTAGTGCCGCTCGTATATATAAAGGACGTAGAACTATCCAGACGCTATGACACATTTGTGAAGGTTTATTTTTGGCAAAATGCCTTTTCAACACATGTAAGTGGGAGCATTAGGGTTAAAGATAGACCGAATGATGCTTCCGGTCTACCGGCGTAATTTAATTATATTGCCAATCGAAAATTCTCGATGCGATGACTTATGGCGATATGTACTTGTATATTTTTCATAATGTTTCGTTGTATCAATCATCTCTTCCATGTGTTTATCAAGCCATACATTTCGAACTTTATGTTAAATAATTGCTCTGTTTTTATTCGTTTCATACAACTACACTTTTTGTACTTTCATATCTGAATCGAGTGCAACAAGTGCAAGTGAAACCAGCAGAATGTCATTGTATCCTGTGATTGGTCGTCTCGATATTTTCGAGATATATCGTTAGAGACAATTGCGATTCTCGAACGCAGTCGTAAACGAAACGCGAAACGTGTATTGGTTTTCTCGAGATTGATAATACTGTGTAAAAATTCGCTTTAGACAATAATCTGCGATAAAATTCGGGACAGAAATTCTGTTTAAATAATTATAATATATTACACGTCGTGTAATATATGTGTTTTATATCAAACACTTTTAGAGAAGTAATCTCTATGCATGCACAGAAACATCGGACATAGATACGTATGTATATTTTAGAATATTAATTTTCTAATAATTAATTATATCTTAATATTTTAGAATATTAATTTTCTAATAATTAATTATATCTTAATATTTTAGAATTTTAATTTTCTAATAATTAATTATATTTTAATATTTTAGAATATTAATTTTACAATAATTAATTAATTAATTAATTTTATTTATAATAAAATTATTATAATTTTATAATTATATAATTAAATTATTATAATTTTATAATAATTAATTAATTAATTAATTTTCTAGTCACTATTTTTTGAGTTTGCACAGTAATTTAAATATATAATATAATAAAAAATTATTACGTTAAAATAATTACAATAAAATTATATATGTTATATTAAAAGGATCATAATTATAATAATTAAAATTAGAAGAATTTTTGTTACATTACAATTGTTTTTATTTTCTATAGAGCTTCCAGGATTGATATTAAAATTAAATTTAAAGGTAGACAAAGTTGTCATTTTTTATAAGCTTTAAAAAAGATTATTTATAACTAAAATTATGACAAAAATAATTCAATATGTATTAGTAGAATATAATTGAATATTAATTGATATGTTCAAATCTGTAATTCTATATATTATTATTATTATTATTATTATAATTCTATATATTTTTTTATTGTGATAAATTTAATTATCGACGATCGATCATATCAGTGTTTGCAATTATCTCCAGATCTGTTGGGCCTACATTTGTTAGGCAAGAAAAAATTTATTTTTAACGATACCTTCTTGGTGTCGCTTGCTCTGATTTAAAAGTTACATTTTGAATAATTTTAAATATTTTTCAAACGGACAGTGCGTGGTGTGGTTGAAGTTTCGCGTCTGCACGTGCTTGAGAACGAAAGTTTGTAAAGAAAAATGTGCGAGTACATGGACATATATATCTTTCACAAGAATTACATTGAAAGATTATTCGAGTATAAATGCATCCTGGGCGAACCGAGAAGAGTAATGCCTCCGAATATTCGTGCAGAATGGGCTTACGACTTGGAAACCGTTATGGAAGAGGCTGGTTGGGAAGCTTTATGGAAGGTATCCCGTTCCAGGTGCGCAGCTTTTCGCATTCCCTATCCGTTAATAGTCCTCGTCAAGGTATTAGGGATGGATTTCCCCAAGTTAAACGCCCTGGTGAAAATTAAGGCTGTTCTGGATGAAGATATTCATTTGCCTGAAGAACATGAAGTACCATTAATTGAACTATATCCCACACTCAATCAAAAAAATAAAACTTTGGATATAGAAGGCACTGCACATTGCATAGATCGAGTTCGGTTTTTCTATCATTATTTATGGATGCCGTGGGATGAGGATGAAGATGACGATACTATTTGGGTGAAGCAGCACTTAGAATCAAGGCTCAAGTTGTATTATGATATGAGAGAGAAAGTTATTAATGAAGAAACATGTGAAATTATTAGATCGTTAATTAGAGAGGCAAGGGATGTAAAGAAAAGGATTTCAGAATATGAAGCTATGTTGCCCGAAGATCTGCACGAAGAGGAAACACCTGAAGATTTAATAGAAGAAACGTGCGAATTGATGAAGCTTCATTTTCGGCTTCGGCAAATTAAAGCAGAAATGGATATTCTAGAAAATCCTTCATTGAGAAAGTTACTTGGGCAACAATCCTCTAAAAGAAAAGAAAAGCACAGAGATTTCAAGGATAAGAAAAATATATATTACTTTGTGTGGCTTGGTGGTACCGTGAAACGATTGCAGGAACTTTTTATTAAAATTCAAACAATGTTACCTGAAGATACATTTATGAAGTATGTTTTTTGTATGTTTTTTTTGTACTGTTTTTTTTTGTATGTTTTTTTCTCTTTTTGAAGGGAAATAAATAAAATTATAACTTTTATATATTGTATATATTTCAGAATTTCTGGATGTCTTAGTGATGCTTTGGATATAGTTGAAATAGGTGATACTATTTTATTAAGTGAAGGACATCATTTTGTCAAGTATTATAATGAATTACAAAAAGGAGGCTCAATTATAGGAATTTGCAATATAGAAGATATTGTTCTCTATCCAACAGAATCAGAACTATCATCAGCTTTATTTGATTTTTCTGGCACAGAGGTATAATAACATAATACAGTTAAAATTTTTCTATTATTTAGTTAACAATTTTCTTTTTTATATTTAATTTATAAAACTTAACAGGTCTTGTTGAAAAATATCTGTATTGATTTGGGAAAGCTTCACGAAGGCATAATTGTCAGAAAAGATTGTACTGTCATTATAACTGATTGTAGAATACGTGTTTCTGATATTCCAAGTAATACCATTCCAAGTAAATGGGGTGTAACTGTTATGCCAGGAGGAAAGTTAGTATTTGAGAACACGGTTTTCCAAGGATTAGGAATTGCTGTAACTATTTTTCCGACCGGTGAAGTTACCATGAATAAATGCAGTTTTGAAGACTGTTGTGAGGGTATACGGGTAAGATCACATTTCACAATTTTGAAGCTTGTGCTTTTAAAATATATGTATATATGGGTATGTTTTTTTTTTCAGCTCAATGATAATGTTACTTTTACTGCCACCGAATGTTCCTTTAAGAATATTAAACATGGGCATGCTCTAGTGATGGAAACTGAAAAAGTAACCAGTCCAAAAATCGTAAAACTAAAAAGTGAATTGACTGATACATCTTTAAATAAAGTAGTTTTAAATGAATGTAAATTTCCCAATGATGATGAGGAAATTGTTACATTAAGACCAAAAAGCATTGCAGCTTTCGCGCGTACTTTTGCTCAGGACGAAGAAACAAAAGAGAACGTCCCCCCGAAAGAAAATTCCGAACAATGAATTCTGTATTATTTATTATAAATTAATCATTGTCTCTTTGATCCAAAGTGCTTGATCTCTCGATGTACATTTGCATAAAAATGAGTTATAAACTTTTTCTATTTTTCTATCGAAATACAATTTATAGTGTTTTACGTGTGAATAATTTTATTGCACTTTGCTTGCGTACTTTCGCAAGGATAATTTTATATTTAAATTAATTTAAAAAAAAATTTTTTTTATTAGGCAAGAGCATATATTTAAATTAAAAAAATATATTTAAATTAAAAATAAATTTAAGTTAAAAAATTTAATTTAAATAAATTTATTAAATAAATTTAATATTAAATAAATATAATTTATTTAATATAATTAAATAAATTTAAATTATTTAATTTTAATTATTTAATTTTATTATTAAATAAATATAATTTATTTAATATATTTAATTTATTTAATATAATTAAATACATTTAATAATTTATTAAGCAAGAGTATATATTTAAATTTAAAAAAATATTCATTTAAAATAAGCTCCATCTTTGAGTGATATGATTTATCGACTAATACGTCATATTATCGAGCTACTCAAAAACGTTAGTAATTCTGCTCTTTTCCACCAGATGTCGCAGTAGTTACGATCGCCGGTTCGAGTCTATCTCGGTTCATTAGTGTTCGACGCGTTGAGATATATCGTGTTTTCTTGCATATTGATATGACAATTCAAAGATTACGAATATCGATAAGAAAAGTGTCAGCTTTTATTCACGCAGCGCGTATTTCATCCGTATTAACGTATTTCCGTCCATTCGTTTGGAGACCCAACGTGACAGTTAAAGCGTGCTCCGATTTGTTCCGCAATCATCTCGCTCGCAAATCGTCTAATCGGTCGCTTTTGGACAAACGTAAGTTTAATTCTTCCATCGAGCCTCAGGCCCAGAATATTAATTATCAGACTCGCCAGATTATCAGAGACGTCCAGATACGAGGTTTCGCGCGAACCTAACCTAACTTTACCGGCCGTGAGGGTAATCGGAGTCGCTGTCTCGTCGCATGCGCGTGTTGCGTTTCGTGCATACGTACTCGAAGGAAAAAAAAAATCACGTGAATACAAATTTAATTACGATGGGATTCATTATAAGCGTTGTATTTTTTCGATTCTGATCCGAGCGTATCTTGAATGGTACCGTAAGTGCTCCCCCTTCCTTGCCTCCTACCCTCTTCCCCCGCAGAACGAGCCATGTGATCGGACACGTGCGTCCGTCATGTATGAAT